AACATTTGATTTTCTGCTAATGTATTAATCTAGCAAAGTTTATTTCATTATACTTTTATAATAGCTATAGGTAAAAAGCTTTTAATAATAATAATATCAAACAAATCAGTAGCTACCTACTTACAATTAATACTATTAACGTGAGTGCGTCGTAATTTTCAATAATTAAATACAACTTATCCTTTAATTACAAATACTTTATAATTTTTATTTGCAATGGGAAATCTTGCATTAGTAACTTGTAATGTGTGTTGTCCATAGCCAATTATTGTTTCATCATCATCATCATTATCAGCCTATAAGTGCCCACAGCTGAGCATAGGCCTCTTCTCACACGGAGAAGGTTTGAGCAATTATTGTTTGCCAGTAGATTATCCGACAGACCGATTGCTACGATAGCCAATAAAAAAATTTAAAAATATTGATCCTCCTTGTCTGCCAATCGCACTAACATCTCAACCAATGACAAATCAAGCAGAAATAATTATACATAACCAATCAATTAAAGCTCATATATGTAGAACAAAATGTGCATAAAATTTAGAATCAATAAAATATTGACATTATTCGTATTTGGCAAAATTTACATTAATATCCTAAAACAGTTATGAATCCTCAAACTGATTGATAGATAGGTCATCGATTTTTGCATAATTTATTGTTAAAGTGCACTATCGTGAATAATTTATTGATTATTTAAAGAGCATTAAGGCAGATGGATTTCTATAGGCCAGACACAACAACATCAATCAAACATTGAACATGACCTATTTGGACCCCAAATAGTTCTGATGTTCAGCTGGGATTGCGGGTAAACCTCAATAATGTATCGCCGCCCTAGCCTGGAGTAGGAGCAGGAACGAGGTTGTTTTTCATCAGTAAGAGTCTGACACTTCCTTTAAAATAATTTGAAGCTTTTTTCCTCTCATTAAAAACTAAGCATTCATCTCTCTATATATAAATCAATGCATGTTTTCGTTGTCTATAGGTACTAATATTATAAAGAGGTAAAATTCGTAAGTTTGTATGTAGGGGGTTTTCTTTGGAACCGCTGGTCGGATTGCCAAAATTCTTTCACTGATAGGTAGCTACAATGTTCCTACATAGCGAAACCGCGCGAGAGTAGCTAGTCATTTTATAAGTCAAGAACGGGTTCACCCTTATTAATGTTTATAAGGTTATAATATATATATAATATAGTTATAATAATCATATAAGAATACAAAAACACGAGAACAACGTTTATGTTAGACCTTAGATAATAGTCTGTATGTCATCTGTGCCTTTAGGGGATTCGTTAAGTAATTAATAAAATTATACTCAATCACAACGAAATGCCAAGGTATCGCAACAGCAATTCCACTAATTATATACGCACTGTCTATTTATATACATTTTTCTTAAGTTCAAAATAGGTTAAACCTAGATTGTCAGAAAAATTAATCAATTTTAGGAGTCACCAAACTAGCCCCGACCTCTAATAGATCACCACAGGCGGGGCCCTATAGGGCCGATGATCAGACGGGGTTGCGGGGCTAGGGCGATAGTATCGCGGCCTCGGCCTGAATCAGAAGAAGGAACGGACGGTTTTTAGTCAGTGAGAGTCTGACACTCCCTTCCGCCTCACCCTGGGCGAGAGAAGTCATTTGATTATTTTCTCCTCACAATGAAAAAGTAACCAAAATAGTAATAATTGACAAGAGGTCAGGAAAAATAATAGAGTTCTTGACCAACTTTTAAATGACTACACTTGTAAGCAAGCATTTTGATGTCCATTCCTGAACGAATTTTCATAGCAATTGTACATTTGTGTGATTTTGTCTTTACTTTTATCTTCTTCGTGACTCTTGTCTTTACTTTAAATCATCGTTCAATATACATTGTAGTGCCCTATTATTACCAACCTATAAGATATTTAAACTTTTACTTACCATAACCTTTGGACTCGGAACGGAACTCAACGGATTAGGCACGACAAATTTCGGACTAAAACAATAGTTACGTTGTGTTTATGCCATAGACAAAAGTTTTGTTTTTTTTTTGTTATTAATTTATTTTAAGTTCCTATTATTTGTATCATTTAGCTTAGATTATTAGTATAGTTATTTTCTTCTTTTTTGTATTTTTGTTTTCTGTGTGTGCGCTTGCACAAGAATAAATGTTTTTCTTTCTTCTTCTTTCTTTCGGCGTTTTAGTGAGGTTACAAGACCTTATCACCCCAAAAACCCTAACCCCTATAAACACCTTAATCTCCTAATCTTTAATTCCTAAAAACGGTTTGATTTCTTATCAACAAGTGATCGGTCTGCTCAGTCCCTGTGCGATAAATAAGGAAAGTAAGATTTTTTATTGATTGAATTTTAATTGTATTTTATTTAAAAACATAATTTTTATTTTTTTATATATTTTCTGCAGTATGCGATCATTTGATCATCACGGCAAGTCAAAAAAGTCAAAACCAATATCATTTATTTAAATGACGTCCTTACAGGTACTTTTGAATCAAACAAAACTTAAAGATAAAAAGCGTCACTCTGTCGGTCGGTCATCGTAGTGAAGCTACTTATTTGCTCGTTCCAAAGTGTATATTCCGATGGCGAAGAACAAGCAAGAAACCCCATAGTTACTTTTTTTAAATCGAGTGTAATAATAATAAGTTTTTTTTGTAAGGGGAAAGTCATCAAATGACTTCTCCCGCCCAGGGCCGGGCGGGAGGGAGTGTCAGACTCTTACTGACTAAAAACCCCCTGTTCCTTCTCCTGCTCTTGGCCGAGGTCGCGGTGCCTCATTACGCTTACCCCGCAACCCCGGCTGAATAATAATGAGGTGACGAATTCAATGAAGACATTTTTGTTTTCATGTGCAATAAATGGTGCTTACTCTATTTATTGAATGTTATCAGTTTGTTAGTTGCAGTTGTTGGATTACATAAACCGGCTCCCTATTATGAGGGATAAAGTCTTACTCTTATGCTATAAGCGAAAACGTAAGCCTAAAGTGAAGTGGTTTTTAGTCAGTACCTAAGCGTCTGACACCGTGTCGCCTCACCGTGGGCGAAAAAAGTCATTTGATGTTTTTTCCCCCTTTAAAATAAATTTTATAAATCAAATAATTGAATTTTAGATTCGAAACAAGAATACGAAATTCAATTAAATATTAATATTCAAATATTAGAGAAATTACAAAGAACTCATGTCAAACCAAATTTTATTATAAAGTTACTAGTTTTGTCTCCATAATTTGTACTTCGTTTTATAGTGTACATAAATCCTTCTTAACAATTAACCTTCACTGTACGTAAGTACATTTGTCAAAATTGGAGACAGGGCTCCCGACAACCACCTGTGGCATTATGACGTCACACGGCCGTGTCGCGGTCAACAATGTGACCAGCTGATGATGAAACAATGAAACAATGCATTTATTTTATTTTTGAAAATACGCCATAAAACGGAACTCTTACAGGTCAAATCTATATACCTATTTATGTGTATAAAAATCAATGACACTTTTCGTTGTAATGTTCTAGCTCAACAATGCCTTTGCCGATTTGGCTAATTTTGGTCTTGAATTATTCGTGGAAGTCCAGAGAAGGTTTGTACGTAATCTTGAAAAATTGTAAATTCGACATCCACGCGGGCGTGTCCGCGGGCGGACGCTTTTTATATGTAAAAAACAATTTACGTTTCCTATCCGACTACTCTGAGAACAAATGCCGAAACAAACTCAGAAGTCAGTCTCTTTTCAAGTCCAGACAATGTAGAAATAATATAATGTAAGAGAACCGTGCAAGTTCATTCTGTAGTCGTCTTTTGAGGAAAGATGTAGAATTATGTAGTGATGGCAGAATGCCATGTGTCAGATCTGGTTATGCAGTCATAATATCCTACATAAATATTATGTTAGGTTAAACTAGGGACACATTCAAGAACCTATTCTGGTCCTCAAATAAACCATCTTTTTCCATAAGACACATTTTATTTAACACTGGTTCTGCTATCAATATGGATAATATATTATCCTTTTTAATAACTATATGCCCTAGAATTTTTTTTAGGTCCTTACCATCTAACTAGTTTGAATACGAGTGCGAAAAAATTTTAGATGCATGTTTTATCAATCAATTATTCACAATTTAGTATTTAAATAATTTTAAATTATTAAGCTTTAATGCAAATTATTCAATTATAATTAATAAATATATCATTAATCCTACATATTAAGACGAATGTGAATATAATACAAATAATATTTATGTAAATAAAATAGATATATTTTAGCTGACGTGTAAACGTTGCGAAAGAACATTTGTCGCGATTATTATTATATCAATATAAAATAATGCCTATAATTCTATAAATGCGTTTCAAAATATGTGATATGAGAAATTTTAGTCGCTAGACCCAAAAAATATTATAATGTTTTAAAAATACTAAATTTATTTATAGAAAATTTTCATAATATTATAATAATTATAGCGTACAGTTGACTAATATCTGATAACATTTAAATATTCGATTTTGGTTGTCAATAATTTATTTTAATGTGATAACAATCTGCATAATCGATTAAAATGTTGTTTTATAAATGATACAAATGTATTTGAAAAGTTCCTTTCAATATCATTAACATTTTTATTTTTAACGGATAATTTAATACAAATTTGAAACTTTGGAGTTTTGGTCACTTTTGTGTACTTATTAGATATTTATGTATGCCGTAAACTGCCAGTATTAAATTCTTCTGCAATTAATAAAACTCCATCCAAAGGTTGTCTGGAAGAAATTGCTTTTAAGCGGTAAGACCTCTAATTGTACTATCTTCCTGTGTTTATTGTTTCTTGTGTTTTTTGTATTATTATGGTGTAGGTACAATAAATAATATTCATTCATTAATTCATTCAGAAATTATTCTTCAGCTGCTGTACCAAAGAAGTACTCGCGATGGGTAAAAAAGTAATTGCATCTATATTATAATAAGGATAGGATTAAAACAACAAATTTTGGTAAACGTTTTTACATTATTTATTGCCTAAAAAACAAAAATTAACAAAAAATAAGTTGTTAAAGCCATTTTCCGCTTGTAACAGTTTTGCATCGAGTGACATAATACGTTGGCTTGGTTTGGTATTTGCGAAGTTTGTTTAATTATTTATATTTACAACTTCTTTTCGGTGTAAGGGTGAGCAGCGATGTATTCAATAGCCCTTGCGATGTAGTCTGGGATTGGGACGGGGGCGGGGGGAGTGGGGAGATGGGCACCCTGAAACAAAGCAAATAAAATTAATTAGTTAACATTATCAGTCAAATATTTTTGCGTCCTTTTTTAATACGTATGTCATAGTTTTTGTTTTTTTGCGATATTGTGTGCTCAGTCTTAACAAAGAGTTAAGAGAGAGAACAATGTCCGTATAGCTGCTTTTTATCAGACATATTTGAACAGAGAACGTAATTTATATGGATTATGTTACTATATTAGTTTTTTTTGGAAATTTATATAAGTGTGGTGAAACAACTTAGTATTTTAATCCCTTCTTCTAATCAATCTGGACATGAGTATCAGATAATAAAAAACCAGGTACAGAACCTCTACCGTTTAAAAATAGGTAAAAGTGTAAATAAATGATTCACCTAATGCTATTCACTTCATTGAATTGGATTTCATTTCAAGAGAGAATTGGCCTATTTCACTTTTTTACAAGTTCAAAACTATTCCTTATTCTCTCCTTGACTAGGTCAAACGTCTTCACATCTACACATCAACATTTATGACTACTAATCCCATTATATTTAAATACTAACTAGTTAAAAAACGTGTTTTTCAAATTAATAAAACAAAACACGTTCCATTATTTCATAAAGCTAACAACTATTTAAATTATTCGCAAAGATTTGAAGACAAATAATATTATTACCAAGCATTATTATAAATAAGTAAAAAGTTCCCTTGTTCAATAATCAGATAATTGGCGAATAAGACAGTGAAAAGCTTTTGATATAACATTATGTCATACCTAAGGTTTTTGATACTCTGTACGAACCATCCAAGTTATTTTCGTAATAGGTAGACGTGTAATTTTATTTTAAACGAATATGCAAGTTCAAACATTCTACTGCACTTTCCTATGGTTTTCTTTAATAGGAGCGTTAGCTACTGACAAACAAAGAATTGTTAATTGGAAATGGTCCAGGCGTTTTTGAGTTATGCGCTCACGACATCAGCCAATATTCACTGAAGTATTAATTTGCAGGAGTTATTCAAAAATATGTTTTATGTGGAAGATAATGATTAATCAGTTAATCAGATACAGACCTGTGGCTGGTATCCGAACTCGTTGGCAACGTAGCTCACGCTGTAAACATCACCTTCGGGGGATTTGTAGGCGTTGGAGCCAGTCACCTCAAGAGCAGCCTCGTCCTGAAGTAAAATTAATTTTAAGTAAGAAGAAACCGGTTTTTGGCCCTCAAATGTTATTAGGGATCAAGTACCAATTCGGGTAATTGTCAAATCGTATTTAAATTAATGTATTCTTATACCGAAAAAGTCGCGCAACATAAAAAATAAAAATAAATCAACAATATATTTTTTTTAACGTTGCTCCACACTAGTATTTTCTCCTATGTCGTGGGTGCGTTAACAGACATACAAAAATTGAGTTGTTCCGCGCGGGAATCAAATCCGCGACACGTTGCGCGACAGCCAGTTGCCCAGCCACCGCGCCAAACGTGCAGTCAAACGATTATTAACGTAACATACATACGACACGATAAACGGGGTTACAATCATCGATGAAAGAAATTAAATATGTTTTTCGTTCATCATCATCAGCCTATAAGTGCCCACCGCTGAGCAAAAGCCTCTTCTCATACGGAGAAGGTTTGGGCATTAATCACCACGCTTGCTCAATGCGGGTTGGCGATTGCAAACTTATAATTAGAAACTAAAAGTCCAGGTTTCCTCACGATGTTTACCTTCACCGTATGTCAGTGGTGTCTAAATAATCATAGAAAGTACATATAACTCGGAAAAAGTCACATTGGTACTTGCCAGGTTTCGAACCCACACCCTCATGCATGAGAAGCGAGTTCCTTAACTCCCGGCCACCACGTTTTCCGTTTCCTAAGAACAAATCTCACCTTTCCGACGAGCTTCACTTTGCCGGAAGCCTGGCCGGAGATACCGTTTTCAGTTTCGTATGCGAACTGGAATTCGCCATTTTCGTTTTGAGCGTAGTCGCTGCGGAGGACCTGAGCGTCCTGCTCAGAGGCCAGGGCGCATGCGAAGATGCAGACGGCGACGATGAAGGTTTTCTAAAAATACAAAAAAAAAACATTAAGTAACAGCAAGGACTTAAAGTATATATTTTTATTAATATACCAATTTTATTTTTATCCTAATTAATATTATAAATGCTAAAGTAACTCTGTCTGACTGTCTTTTCTTCACGCCTAAACTACTGAACTGATTTGTGTGAAATTTGGTACAGACATAGTTTGGAAACTCGAGAAAGGACATAGGACTATTTTTTAAACCAAAAATTTGCAGTAAGTCACTATTCCACGCGATCGAAGTCACGGACAAAAGCCAGTAGATTACTAAATAAGACTATTTAATTTTGTGTGCAAGTAACTAGTATGATCAGGACAATTGTAATTTACTAAAAAAAAGAAAATAGAAATATGTTATTTGTGTTAGGTAAATGGAATCTCGCACATTCTACCTAATTAGTGTACAAAATATTTGGCTTAACCTTTCTTTTCAAGCAACTAATTGTAAAATATGTAATATAAGAAGAATTATGGAATATGCGTAGAAAGAGTAGTTAATTGTTAACAATATCATTTTATATTATTACAAAATCTTTTATTGGCCATGTTTTATGCTCAAAATATACTGAGATTAAACTGAATAGTGTGAAGCATTTAGTCAGCGTAATTAAAAACATATAAAATATATATTAAAGTTCATCAAATTACTTTTACGTTACGTTTATTCGTTACTAATATTATCAAATCGATAAACAACTTTTTAAATCGTAATCGAACACTTTTGTTTATTTTAAAATCACTGTTCACTTCACATTTAGCAAAAACATTATAAGTAATTATTTATTTTTAATCTACCAATTTCTCGCACTTACCATTTTGATGTTGCTTATTCGAACTACTAGTCCAATCTAATGCTGGAGTAAAAATTAAGTTTCTTATATACAAGTCCCAGGAATATCAAGTATGTGAAATCATACCTAATACTCACAAAGATAGAAAGGTCAACTTTTGTTTTTTTTACTATAGTCTTATCGCCCATACCTTTGACATTTTCATTTTGAGCAAACGAAAAACTTGTTTCGTCTTAGAAAAAAAATATATACAATTTTGTCGCAACGTGAGTTTTTTATTTTTATTTAAATATGTTAAAGAGGTTGAGAAAATTTTATTATTACACTGATAAGGAATTTTCCGATAGCTAGATAGACTAAGAAAGAAATTATTAATACCGTTCATACAATTAAGTAAATAAAAAATGCATTTTCTATTTTTGAAATATCGTTAATCGTTCATGTGAGTAAGTTGTATTTTCAATAAAAGAAAATATTTTTTGTAAAGTTAATTTTATTTATAAAATTTCTTAATGAATATTTGATTTTTTTAAATATTAATTAAAATATTTTATAAAGCTATACAATCATAATTCTTCAAAGATGGTTAACATTTCAAAACAATTATATGTTCAATGCCATATGTTGATGCACAATCGATATTTGACATTAAATCATTTAGAAATTAAGTTTCTTAAATAAAATAATTAGTATATAAATAAAAATTATTAAATTAATTTTAAATCTTCACCAAAATATATAGTAGTGACATTTTTTCACAATCGAAGATGGATTACAAGATCCAATGAGGCCAATAGCAAATTCAGTTCCTGGGTCGAGCCGGTACTTTTTGTTTAGACCATTATTACTCTGAATCTGTGCTACTAGCAAATAGTAGGTACTAAACGTAAAAAACAAATAAGTATATTTTATTGTTATTTTATTTCTTAACAGATCAAACAAGTATTGAAGATTCAATTATACTTGCATCTAAAAATTATATATAACTGAAAAATATACCGACAAAAAATTACAATCATTATATTATTAATCAATATGATGTTTTGTTAAGATTTTGTAAACTTAGCACTTTTACTGAATAACAAAAAAGTGAATTGTAATATCAGTCTTGATGTCTGATTTGCAACATGTGAATAGCTTCTAAGTTCCAGATAAAATAAGAACGTAATTTGTATTAACTATTTGCCACAAAGGTGGTGGAAAAACGCTTATATAGTTATATATTAAGTAACTTACCAAACATCTAATGAAATCCAAGCAATATTCTCAAGTGTGCAGAAAAATGTCGTCGAAAGCTGGAGAACGAACTAGGTGGTACTCTTAAATAAAATTATAATCCATTAGCTTTATCAAGATAAGCACATCTAGAGGATTTCTTTCCTCCATCTCGAGGACTTTTTCTTAAGCAAAAAGTAGGAAAAAAGAGAACTAAAAGATTTTGCCTTTGGATTTACTATATTTACTTTTTTCTATGCACTTTTTAAGTTCGTTTAGTTACCACTGACAAACGATGAACTTAAGGCGTTGTAAGGAAACCTTTTTTTATTGTATACGTAGGCAGGGCAGTACGATATTCCGAATTCTTTTTTCTTATTTTATTTTTTAATATCGTTGTTCTACACTAGGATTTTCTCCTGTGCCGTGGGTGCGGTTACAAACATATAATTTCACATACACACGACACCCGGACCCAGAACAACAATTTGTGGATCACACAAAGAGTTGTTCCGTGCGAGAATCGAAACGCTGGGCAACTGGCTGCCATGCAACGTGCTAGATTAAGTTTTAAGACCTTGATATAATGGTCATTACCAAGTTTCATTAAAGTCGTTTTATTATTTACCGTGGGGTTGCGGTGTAAGCGCAATTTGGTTCAGCGGCCTCAGCCCAAAACACGAAAATAAACGTGGGGTTTTTGTCAGTAAGATTCTGACACTCTTTCTCGCCTTACCCTGAGCGGGAGAAGTCATTTGATGATTTTCCCTGCAAAGAAAAACATATTTCAACTGATATAGACTATAACTATAAACACGTTATGACACCTTTAGTTTCAATTTTCATTTGTTTATTTCGTAATTTTGCCAATGAGTTATTTTCAAATCTTTTTATTTATGCCCGGTTCCTATATTTAACGAATCGTCGTTGTACACGCAATACGACCAAATGACATTACGAATGGTTATCTTGACCGTCTACTGACGGTTAAAATATTTATAGGAACACACAGTCACCATAGATCTCCATACAATTCGCTTACCGACATCCGTTAGTTGCAAACCGTCAGTAAGTTGCACGACGAGACGTTTATTATAGGATCGGTTTTAGCGAACGCGTCGTATATAAAACTACTATTCGTAATTAAAACGGATCGTTTCTCAATTATAGGAACCGGGCGATAATAAATGTTATATACCTATTTCACTCTACAACTTTCAGTTCGAAACGCTATTTTAACCAATTTCAAATATTTAGGTAATACGAAACAAATGTTCAAATATCAATATCTAATTAACAACCTAAAACAATAATATCAAACTAATTCACCAAACCCCAAGCAACCGCCGGCGTTCGAGCACCTATAGTTTTCTATTGTGTCTCGAATCATCACGATTGAAAGGTTAATAAATAACCAAACTGTTACTTATTCTTAGAAAGAAAGAGATTGCATAGATAGGTTCGTCATCTGATCTTCTGAATCAAGGTTATAATTTTGATGTTGTAATGAAGTGAGCACGAAGGTGGGTACATAATGCTGAATATTAATTATATTTGTCTTACCATTGCATACTGATGACTGAGTCATGGCGAACATTAGATAAGTTTGAACCTACTCATAATAGTGATGTGATAAACACGCATTGCAAACTTACTGTTTGATTGTCAACGGTCAAATACCATCCCTATTTCATAATAAATTCTTCAACAACGGAGATGTTACGAGTGCGTTGCCGACCTTTTTAGGATTAGTGATTTGGAGATTTAGGGATTGGAGGACGGGAAAGGGTTGGTCCTACGATAACTCCAAAGCATGGCTTTTTTACTCCTTTAATTAAATACCACTCTTTGTCAAATAAATTTATTAAAATTAAATCATCTTAAAATTGATTGATTTAATTTTTTAAACTTAGTTTTAGTATTTTTCTAATGTGACCTTTTCCGTTTTTAATATTATTTGGTGCAATATCCCAGCTTCTCACTGGTGCAATGGTGATACAATTTTTTCCACTATTTAGTGGATGTTATCTATACTAATATTCTAAAGAAATAAAATTTGTATGTTTAAGTTTGTAAGTTCATTTGTAGGGAGTAATATCTGGAACCGTTGGTCGGATTTCCAAAATTCTTTCACTGATACATAGCTACAATACTACTAAGTGCTACAGGCTATAAATCAGATTAAATGGAACCAAGCAGCGAGTGAAACTGCACGAGATATTAAGTTAGTTAACTATCTAAACCTTCTCCTTTTATAACTCCTCAAAATCCGTTGCATAGTTTTAAAGATTTGAGCACAAATAGGGACAGAGAAAAACGACTTTGTTTTATACTATGGAGTGATGCGATTATAACATAACTTTAACTACGAAAAAATTTTAGTAAGACCGTTTTAAATATCATAACGCACTCTTTTAAAAAATTAAATTTCATTTTTATTAGAATAAAAAAATGTATAAAAATGTATCTGTTGTTAGGCCAGCAACATCTTTAGGCAAAAACAAAAAAGTAATTAAATAATAGAGCAACTTAATAAAAATATGTAGATTAACCTTCCAAAATCAAGTATTTCCTCTATGAATAAAAGTATTATTTTTAAATATTATTTTATTATTTCGTTTACATATAAATAGGTCTTAAAATTCGTGTTACTAAGCGGAATGCTAACTGACAAAATTTTATTTTAAGATTAAAAAAAACTAATTTTAGTTCGGTTATTTCTAGTATGATCTAGAATTTTTGTGTTACAATTTATGGATATTTTTTATATGGTAGTCAAACGGTCACGGGTCATATGATAATATCAGAGTTACAAGTGTTAGTTTTAAAACTGGAATAAAAATAAAGTGTATTTTTTAGATCGGACACGATATCAGATCTTGCTGATTGACTGAAACTTCGAAAATTTTAATTCGATTTCATATCAAACCTACACCTAACATATGAACAGCTGACAAAAATGAATGTCCTAAAAGATTGAAATTCTTCATCAGTTCTTGACTCTTGACCTGACTTAGTCTAATGTGCGAAGCATACTCGGTCACCTTGAAACTTATACTTTCATCCGAACAAAGATATGCAAGAGGTAAACAAGAAATTGTTAAGTACATTTTATTACATGTGATTTCCAACACAAATTATAGTATATGAATAATAATATATTAACAGCATTGTAATAGCGAAGAATATTATTATTAGATAATAAAATATGTAATTATTTATCTTCAATAGAAACATTTAAGTGTGGAAGAGCCATGCTTCGACACGAATGGGCCTGTTCGACAGGAGTGATAGTGGTCCTCACAGAAACCGTATAGCAACACTTACGTTTTATTTCGCCGTGAAAGTAAAGTAACTGGAGGCCCAATCCTTCCCACTCCCTTCATCCTTAATCCTCGAATCCCTTATCCTAAAATCTCTAATAAGACATTAGAGGCCGGCAGCGCACTTTTAATAACTCATTTAGTATTACTAGTGCCCATGGGTGGTGCATATTGCGTAACACAGGTAATCCGTATGGTTCTTGCCGATCTATGACATAAAACACAAGATTTACAATATTTATGCAGAATCTGTTTGTTTGGAAAAAAGTTTTGTAATAACACTTAGAATTCGACTGCGCAAAAAAAATAAATTAAAAATGCATCTTTGACCTTCAATACCTAAAGAACCCGTGGAGTCCCAGCGATGGTCTTAAAGAAAAAAATGATCCAAATAATTGGTAGAATGCGGCTTTCGGCTTCGTTAAGTGTCTTTTTACACCCATCGAACTATATTGTGACGGAAAAGTGGTTCAAACTCTTTGACATCATGACGTCAATGGATGGTTGTCAAACGTTGCCTAGAGATTGTAAATTTCGTCGTGAATTGT